CTGAAAACCAATATTTTCTCCTAAAAACCACAAGGACCTGTCGCCCTCAGTGGGGTTGTGTTTATACTTACTTAGACTTTAATAGGACTGACTTTACCTGAGTGATTAAAGTCCGAGGAGTGTGAGGTACCTTTTAGAGGGGGAACAGAAAAATGATTTACTAACAGTTGCTGTAGAGTCGACCCTCAGAGGGACCGTTCTGATGAAAATCCTCTGTAACTGATGAGAGAAGAGGGTCCTTTAATAAGTTTTTAATAAGCGCAAGTGGTGAATTATTAAAAATAAATATGGTGAATTTAACATCCATTAATGTAGTTTTATAAATAAAGTGCAATAAAATATGAATGTGTGTCACTTTACTGGTTCTTATAATTAGCTGAAATACAACTGGTTCTTATTGCGATTTAAACAACCTGATTGATATTCATCACCTTTGTCTTCTTTCTCTAAAATACGATTTGTAAATATAAAATCTTGCCTGCTGCATTTTACCATCCCTGTGGGAAATGATCCAAATAGATCTTCTTGACCTCTCTAACTGATTCTGAGGGTTTTTTTCCCACAATTTCAATGAAGTTATTCTATCCCATCCTCTAACCTGTGCACACACATGGACGTAATTTTAGGGGGGGGGGGGGGGGGGGGACATGTCCCCCCCACTTTTGCCAAAATTAAGTTTTGATCCCTGCACTTTTTACCATCCAAAAACAATATTACCTTATACTAAATTGACACTGGTTGAGCTCTGGGACCAAGCGGAAAACAACCGTTTGTGTAGAAGCCTGTTTCCCATTAGAACATACTGTAAAAGACACCCCCCCCCCCCCGCCCCGTCTCCCCCCCACCCCCCCACCCGTCCCCTGCACATCTAAAGTGAAAATTACGTCCATGTGCACACACATCTACAATGTGATCAATGCGTCATCGCCTTTGGCTCCATCTTTTTGGTCGCCTCAGGATCAGGTCTCTGCTTTTTGTAGGTCCTGTTGGCTTTTTGATGTGGTCCTGTTGGCTTCATCAGAATGTGATCTCTGGCTTTCGCTGGAGCAGTTCACAGCAGAGTGTGAAGCAGCTGAGATGAGAATCAGCTCCTCTACATCCGAAACCATGGTCTTGAGTCAGAAAATGGTAGAATGCCATCTCCAGGTCAGGGACGAAGTCCTGTCTCAAGCAGAGGAGTTTTAGTATCTCGGGTTCTTGTGCATGAGTGAGGGAAGGAGCGCAAGATCGATAGACGGATTGATGCTGCATCTGCGTTGATGCAGATGTTGTACCGGTTTGTCGTGGTGAAGAGAGAACTGAGCCAGAAGGTGAAGCTCTCAATATACTACCCTCATCTATGGTCACGAGCTTTGGGTAGTGACCAAAATAATGAGGTCGCGGATACAAGCGACCAAAATGAGTTTTCTCCTCAGGGTGTCTGGGCTCTTTCCCGCCACACAACCTCAGATAAGCAGATGGAAATGGGTGGATGGCTTCATCAACAAATACAGGAATAAGAAAAAATAAAGGGACAAAACACAAAAGATAAACTAAGCTTCCATTTTTTATTTCTCTGAAAGACAGGCATTGTCCAGACCTTCTGGTGAACATGTTCAACAACTGTTAAGAAACAGAGGAGTGTAGAACAGCTTATTTTGTGTAAAAAAAGAAATAATCTTGAATATCTTTTGTATTTTTTTTAACTCATGAACAAGAACACTGGGGGGGGGGGGGGGGGGGGGGGGGGGTGAAGATATGCAGCAAATTAGGTAGTTTACCACTGATATTCCACCACATGACCCAGTGATCGATAGCGTTTTGTGCAATGACTATAATTTTGGGATATTCAAAAGTGGATGCAATCTTGGCAAAAAGAAAATTTCCCTTGACACGAGCAGTTCTGGACCATTAAAATGAAACAATGCATTTTACTGACGGTAATCTTAAATAACCATCTCCTACAGAGTCTCCAGTGTTGCCATGTGCTACAGGTATTAAGCCAGGGGAGTGAAGCAGCTTTTACCACACCTCTGCAGGCACTCAGTGCTCATCATGGGCTCCATAAATCTGACTAGAGCAGCAGCTAGGCAGCACAGAGTAGAGATGCTCCTAATTTATGGCCCTGAAGCACCAGAGGCAGAGGAACAAGCACAATGGAATAAACTCGACTCAACAGTGTGTCTGTGTGTCAGGGTTTAATACGGATGCTGCATGTGGTGGATAAGCAACGTGACGAGCAGGTAAGTGATGCACCGGACAAAACCTGTCATCTATAATGGTGCAGTGGAGAGGCTGTGAGGCAGGCACTGTAAATCAGATGCAGGGTGTTCACTCACTGTCCACAGGAGACTTCCACTGAAAATCACAGTGATAGATGGGCTGAGAGTGAGTGGACGGTTGTGTAGAATGAACTGTTAAACTCATTAGCCTCTTTTGCGACTTCCCGCTGACAGAAATTCTCAGGCTGCGTGCTGACGTTATTTGGCTGTGAGAGAGAAATGAGAGGTAGATGCTTCAGGTTCTTTTGGTTCACTCAACACTCAGCAGCCCCCCCCCCCCCCCCCCCAAGCTGCATCTGTGCATGTGTGTTTTAAAAGCAGGTGACAGATGTGAACAGCTGTGAAGGTCATATACATCCAAGCACATATAGAGAAAATGGATGATGTTTCCGGAAATATGTTTATTATGAAATAAAAATGTCAAAGTGAAAAATAAAGCACATAAACTACAGAAATCGTGCCAGCTCTTTCTCTGGGTCTCCTAGAGAAGGTCGGTCAGTGTCTCAGTGGAGTTTGTTTTAATTCTCTCTACTACGCCCCCACCCCGCGCGCCTTCCAGGTAATTGGCAATCTTATTCCAACTACGCTTGATTTAGCACCGTTGTAAATGTTTTCAGACTTTAAGACGTTGGCTTTAGGAGCAGATGAGAAACTTCAAACTCTCATCAGCTCCTCAGACCCATTCAGGAACTGGATAGACATATTTAAGTCAGTATTTTATCTTTTATTTTTGCTGGTGGCATAGAAATTTGACTTCAATAAGTTATTTAAAAAATATACGTCTTTAACATTAAATGTCTTTGAAGATGATTTATTGTACTAACAGTCTGTGACTTTATCCATTAATAAAGTGAGTCTATAGCTATGGTGTCCTATACTGGTCTTGGAGAGCCACTATTCTGTCTGGTTGAACCGTTTCTCTCCTTTAAACCAGATTCAGTGGTTGAATGACCTCTTCAGCATGTTCTCAAGTTCTGAAGGAGGCTTTTAATCAGCCATTGATACAAACCTGCAGAGAAAACATCTGAAGTGTGCAGGATAGTTGTCCTCGAGGACCAGGATTGGTCACCACTGGACTGTCACTTATACCGTATGGTTGGATATGTGTATAATATTTGGATCTGTAAAAAAATAGAATTTAAATAAAAGAATGAAAATAGAATTTACTGCAGGAATAAAAATAATAAAAACAAAAAACAATGTTGACTATCACTGAGAAACCATTTGAGTGATGTTCTTATACAAAAACTAAAAGTTATTTGTGGAGATAAAACATCAACGTTGCAAAGCAAACAGAGCCAGTGGTAGAGTTGCCATTCTCCATTCTAAGGCAAGATGTCCAAATACCAGGAAATAAAACTCCAAATCCTGCCATCTGATGATATTTCTCCTCCAGCCCTGCAGATAAAACCAGCATAAATTATGTTTTGGATGCTGGTATGCTATTCCAGGATGAGCTACTGGTAACTGTATGCTGGGCTTGCATGCCAGACCAGTTTCCCATCCAGCTAAACCAGCACCATAACACAACATTTGCTGGTCTATGCTGGATTTTTCAGCAGGGAGCTGTCTTCTCCATGTTCTCTAACAGGTGCACCAACATCCCCCCCCCCCCCCCCCAAAGGATAACTCACAAGATGGTCATTCCTATTAGAGACCTCTAAAAATGTATTAAAATTCTTAGTGAACGACCTCTTTAAAGCTTCTAAAGGTTTTGATAAAAAATATATGATGGATGCTTGAGAGTTAAGGTGGTATGGACGGTTGCATGGATTTCAACGAGCCAAACCAAAGAAAATGCTTGAATGATTTAAAGGTACAATATCTAAGAATTCTACAGTGAATCATTCACAAATGTTTTTTATCTGAAGTTCTATTACAAAAAAAAGGCTGAAATAAAAATAACAAAAACCAAATCTCTACTTGTCCCTATTGGTGTACAAGCTGGCATTAGCACTGACACAGCTAACCAGGAAGTGGTCTAAAACTCTCCTGAGCCATTACTCAAAAGCAAGGCACAACTAGTAGTGACTACATTTATCAAATGTTTAGATAACTATTATAAATCATGATATTAGTTTGAAAACTTGGTCAGTTAGCTTTACAACAAGGTAGGGATTGTGCTTACTTGGAAAGAGCAATGCATGTGGGTACTGTGCACCCCAAAGGTACCAAAATGTTCTGCTCTTTTTTTTAACACCAGTTGTTGCCAGGTGTATGCCAGTTACTGACTGACAACTTATGAGCAGCTGCTGTTAGGGTTAGTGACCAGCACCACCAGTCAGGTTGGCCTTCAATAACTCCTGGTTGAGAAATGGGACAACATTCCACATGTAAATGTGACCAGTCTGGCGACCAGGATGAGGAGGAGGATCCAAGATGTTGTGGATGCACATAAATCTTCCACATGCTACTGAGGTCATTAGAGTGAAAATGGGCAATTTCAAAATGGCTGATTAGCTAAATGGCCAAGTTTACGTTTCCTAATTAGTGTGAGAGAATGCAATCAACCAATCTATCAAGCAACTCAGAAAAAACTGTAAATACTTGCAGTAGAACATTGCAAGGAATTCTTGGTGGACATTCCTCACCTTTTTAGATGCACAATCCTTAAACTATGCCTTGCACAGGGCTGCCAACTATCATATGTTGCGCAATCCCCCCCCCCCCCCCAACCCCCAATGCATTTAAATATTCAAAAGTTGGCAGCCCTGCTTACAGTAAATGTGACCTATCAGATTTTTCAACAGCATGAGATTTATTGCCATGAAGCATTTTTACGAAAAATAAACTATTAACCAAACCAACATTTTCTTACCATTTTAGCCTAATTTGAAAGCCCCAGCAATGAGTGACATTCTGCTAGTATCCACTGTAGTGTTGCCTACTTAGCAAATCCTTTTCTAGTTTTTAGCAAGCATTCAAACCTCTCTTTAAAAAAACAGCAACTTTTTTCTCTTGTTAAGCCTAATTGATACTTCTGTCTGTGGAGGTGTGGAGGCACGCAGCAACCTTATCCATTGGCGCAAGGGCTCTCCAACAGACATGCAAGGATGGACGGCGACGAACAATCCATCGAACGCAGTGAAGAGAGGAGAACGCTTGTTTGTGATTGGTTGACCCAACAGCCCAAGATCATTTCCAGCTTGACGCTGCTGTCTCCTTGGCTCCAGGGGAATTTTTTTGTAACAAGTTTTAGTTCCTCGTCATCAAGCTGTTTGAGCTCCACCAAAATTCACCCTGTGTCAACCATTGCTCCTTTAATGGATTTGCATTTAAAAGCTGAAGTAAATGAACTGTTGTCAACTAAATGTCAGTGCAATGGTAGGTAGACCTGCCAGAAATTATCTACTCCACCTGCGGTTCCTGATGGAGAATTGCTTTGGAATACTGATACACCAATGGAGAAGTTACAATGGAATTTTTTTCTGTCAATTCATGAGCATGTGAGTGGAAATCAAATGAAAGGAAATATAACCTAGACCAGGGGTGCCCAATCCTGGTCCTAGAGGGCCGTATCAAGCACATTTTAGTGGTTTCTCTGCTCCAACACACTTGATTCAGTAGTTGAATGACCTGAGCAGAAGCTCATAACATTAACAAGCCTGTTAATCACCTGCTGATTGAAATCAGGTGTGTTTCCCAGAGCATTCGCTGACAGCCCAGTCCTCGTATACAGAGCAGGAAAGATTTGCCCCTCTGTTCTCAAACTCAAAATACATTGTTAATGTCAAATAGCAAAGCTACCACCAGATAATTTATACTTTTAAACATACTGTGACATTTGAACTCCCTTTTAGGACAGAAAATAGCCACTTTCCTTACTAAAGAGTTGGCAGCATGGGTCCTCGGTTCATAACACTTTTTAACTCTGACCGGTTTAATTAACTAACATTTTTAGTGTACAGCGCCTTGTTTGGTTGTAATGCCTTGTGAATGCGCTTTATAAATAAAATTGGATTGGATGATCTTTGCGAATGATACTGACTTTGGAACAATTTTATGCTAATGTTTGAACCTAAGGACGCCTGTGCCAATTTTACCTACAGTCTCCATGAAAAGCTTTTTATTTAACTTTTTTTTCGATGCACTTACTGAAAACAGAACATTCAATAAATGCTTAACTGTCTTGACCTTTAAAAGACCTAAAATAAACTGCTGCAATAAAAAAAAACCTTTACCGTTCCAGGGACTTTATGGATTTAGGTACTTCTAATAAACGCTGGGTTTGATTCATATGTGGGTAAATCCAAAGCACTCCTGATGAAGTGAGCAGCTGAAAATAGTCTGTAACCTGTTACGGAGAACAGCGCGCAACAAACAGGTAGAAATTTAAAGAAGAAATCACAGAGAAGCCTTCGGACGAGATGAAAAATGCATGAAGAGTGGAATACAAATGAAGAGAAGAATGATGTCCTGACATACAGTAGAGGAGGAAGGATGTAAATGGATGTGTTTCTAGGAGTAAAGCTGTCAGGATTTGAAGCAGGTATTTTTCAGCTCAGCCACCACTTTAAAAATTACTCATATGACGACCACCTGCCAACACCTCCAGACACGCAGCCCTGTCTTTCAGAGATGCCAACGGTTAAAAGATTTTTTAATAGAATACTGTTACTATAAAAGAAGTCATTGTGTCTGTATTGTCTTGGGTTGAGTTGGTTGTTTTCTCAAGGCTGCGGTGCTTTCTTCAGCCACAAAGTAACACTCATTGTTTTTGGCACTTTGAAAATAAAAGCAGTATGAAGAACGATCTTGGATTACTTTGTTCACCTTTGCAGCTCTTTCAGAGGCAATACAGGCTCAGGTAAAAAATAAAGAAGTAGTTTTAAGTTTCAATTTTCAAGAATAGAATAACAATATTTAGTATTGATAACCAGAAGACGGAAATAATTTAAAAAAGAAAGAAAGAAAAAAAGAAATAGCACAATGATAAATGACTGAAAATACTGCATAGTACAAATGCCCCGTAGCTGTGAATGTCTGTTCTGCTTTCTAGGGCACAAAGGGCCAACAGGGACAGACCACAATGAGAGACTCATCAGTTTTTCCTCTTACAGAGGCAAAAATTCACCCAAGGAGATTCCAAAAACTGACTTTGGGCTGTTGCCTTCAGGGCGAAGCTGAGTCCACAGCGCCGTCCTGCCCTTCAAAGCTCCAAATGGCTGAATAAAAATACCTCAACATCTTTTTTGATCCCTGGAATAAAGAGAGTTGGCTGCTGGAAAAATCAGTCCTGCTGGATTCCCCGAGCGTTATTCAGGTTCACTGCTATTTGTGGTCTTGTCCCACTCTATGCTTTCCACACTATGTGTGGGGGATGGAAGGGTTCCTGTGGCCCCCGCAGGACGCATCCTCAGTCCCTGGAAGCGTCTGCATTCAGGACAGATCCGGATGTGGCTGCATCCCCTCGCCACCAGGGCAGCCTCCTGAGCAAGTCTGTGAGACAGAGGCTCCGGCAGTCCTGTGCCTCCGCAGAGTTTGCCGTTGCTGAGACTCACAGCGGCGGCCCGTGCTCGACGCTCCTCCAGGGGCAAAGGCCGCGGCCGCAGCATGGTTGCCGGTCGCCTACGCCTCACCTGCAGGCTGTCGCGACACAGCACGATCCCATGGAGCTCCCGCAGCATTTCCTCACACATTGACTGCTGCATGCACACACAGGAGGGAAAAAATAATAGGGTAGAGGGGGATGAGAGGGAGAGAAATGGCCAGAACACTCATTGATTGACTGACTCTGTCAGGACAGACTGATGGGCATCACAGACACATAACACATACAGCACACGTCATGGTTACATTCATATAGAAAAGTAGAGGTATTGCACAGACTTAAAACTGAAGTTTTTTCTCCTTTACAGCTGCATGCATGGATATAGAAACTCATATGCAAGTACAGACGTAGACAAATTGTTGGTACCCTTCGGTCAATGAAAGAAAAAACCAACAATGGTCACAGAAATAACTTGAATTTGACAAAAGTAATAATAAATGGCATTTCTATGAAATACCAATGAAAGTTAAACATTGCTTTTCAACCATGCTTCAACAGATTTATATTTATATCTTTGGGGCAGCAGTAGCTCAGGTGGTAGAGCGGGTTGCCTCATGATCGGAGGGTCATGGGTTTGACTCCAGCTCCCGCCAGGGGTATCCTGCTGTTGTGCCCTTGGGCAAGATACTTCACCCAACTTGCCTGTGTTAGTGGTGGTCAGAGGGGCCGACGGCGCCAAATGGCAGCCTCTCCTCTGTCAGACCTCCCCAGGGCGGCTGTGGCTACAAGTAGCTTACCATCACTAGCAATGTGTGAATGTGAGAGTGTGTGAAAGCGCCTTTGGGGGTCTTGAAAAGCGCTATATAAGTTCAATGCATTATTATTATTATTATTAATGAAAAAAAACTCATGGAACAGGCCTTGACAAAAAAAGAGTAGTACCCCTAACTTCATATTTTGTTGCACAGCTTTTTGAGACAATCCTGTAACTGTCAGTGAGACTTCTGCATCTCTCAGCAGGTATTTTGGCCCACTCTTCATGTGCAAACAGCTCCAGTTGTCTTAGGTTTGAAGGGCTCCTTCTCCAGATGGCATGTTTTAGCTCCTTCCAAAAATGCTCAGTAGAATTGAAGTCATGGCTCATAGAAGGCGAATGTTTTTAGCTGTGTTTTGGGTCATCGTCCTGTTGCAAAACCCATGACCTGCGACTGAGACCAAGCTTCCTGACACTGGCCAGCACATTTCTCTCTAGAATCCCTTGATCGTCTTGAGATTTCACTGTATGCTGCACAGATTCAAGACACCCTCTGCCAGATGCAGCAAAGCAGCCCAGAACATAACAAAGCCTCCTCCATGTTTCACAGTAGGGACAGTGTTCTGCTCTTGATTTGCTTCATTTTTCTGTCTGTGGGCATAGAGCTGATGTACCTTGGTAAAAAGTTCCATTTTTGTCTCATCTGTCCATATGACATTCTCCCAGAAGCTCAGTGGCTTGTTAACATGTAGTTTGGCATATTCCAATCAGGCTTTTTTCTGATTTGTTTTGAACAGTGGTGTCCTCCTTCGTCATCACCCATGTAGTTCACTTTGGCTCAAACAATGATGGATGCTGTGATATGACACATATTTTCCTTGAGCCTGAAGTTCACCTTGGCTCTCTTTAGAAGTTTTCCAGGGTTCCTTTGTTATCGTTCGTATTATCCGTCTATTTATTTGTCATTAATTTTCACCCTGCAGCCATGTCCAGGGACGTTGGCTACTGTTCCATGGATCTTAAATTTTTGAAAAATACGTGCAACTGTAGTCACATGATCATCTAGCTGTTTGGAGATTGTCTTATACCTTATACCTTTAATATGCTTGTCTATAATTTTCTTTCTAATCTCCTGAGACAACTCTTTCCTTCGCTCCCATGTTGAGTGTGGTACACACCATGCCACCAAATAACACAGTGACTACCTGGAGCCTTATAAATAAGCCCACTGTAGAAACCTGTGATGCTAATTAGTGAACACACCTTGAATTAACATGTCCCTTTGGTCACATTATTCTCAGTATGTTCTAGGGGTACCATCGTTTTTTGTCCAGGCCTTATTTCATGAGTTTATTTTTTCAAATAATTCCAACAACTTGGGCCACATCTGTAGAATACATTTACCATGGGACAAATTACAGCCAAGCATCAAGTTTATGTCAAAATAACTTCATCATGACATTCACCTACTTTTGATAACTATTTCATCCTGAAGTAGTTACTGTTTTGAAAATTTCAAATGCTCAAATGCAGAAGAGAACTAGTTAATCAGTCAGTCACACGGCAATAGTTTGATGCATTTATATGCGCACAGGTGGGGAACAGAGGAGATTCAGGTGACTTTGTAGATTGCTTGGTTATTGGAAAGAGATAAGCTGAATTGTGTAAACTCAAATAATCTCAAACTATAGTTTCTTGAACATAATGGGTTCACTGGACTCCAACATCATCCACAATATCCAGATCTAAATCCAGTCCAGAACCTTTGGGATGCAGTTGAACGGGAGACTGATGTCACCTTGTTAATATGTATTCTCTACTAATGAAAGCAAACTACATTCATTACTCAGGTTCATCTGCATTAACTCACTTTGAATTGATTTGCTTCAAAAATGTGAGGCATATGTTTATTTAATGCTTGACACATGCATGAATCCATTTTCTAAGCTACATTGAGTTGCTGTGTGTTTCAGCAAAACCTCACAACTTTACAAGTAGAGGGAGGGAGAAAGACAGCAAGCAGATGCAGGTTAAAAAGTCTCCCCTCACCTCGTTCCCAGGTGTTTGTTTTAACATCCAAACAAACTCAAGCACAGCCATAAAGATAGCCACCAGCAGGCCACACACTAGCACCACAAAGATTCCACCGATGTTCTCCATACCGAGACCTGGGGGACAAAATAGGAAATATGAGTATAAATGAGCTCAAGTTGAACATATTTGAGGTAATAATTAACAAAAATCAGCAAAAGAAACAACCTTTAGCACGGTGGTCCTCTTCCTTTGGACACTTGCCGCCATCCCACCACTTCCTCTTGAGAATTTCTAAGCGATTGTCCTCCTGTAACTTGAGGATGGCTAGGTCAAACTCATCCCGATACACTGACCCTGACGGAAAGAGAGGGGTAAAACTCACCCACTGTACAAGTAGTTATGAAAATATAGAATCATGACATTGATTCCTCCTCCTTGAACCGTCACCTTATCGTGGTGGAGGAGTTTGAGTGCCCTAATGATCCTAGGAGCTATGTTGTCTGGGGCACTTTGTGCCCCTGGTAGGGTCTCCCATGACAAATTGGTCTTAGGTGAAGGGTGAGACGAAGAACGGTTCACAGGATCTTTCATGGAGGTAAAGTCAAAGCGTCGGAGTACCCGGCCCGGAGGGTTACCGGGGTCCTACCCTGGAGCCAGGCCTGGGGCTGGGGCCCGAGAGCGAGTGCCTTGTGGCCGGGCTTTCGCCCATGGGGCCCGGCCGGGCCCAGCCCGAACCGGATACATGAGCTCATCCAACTGTGGACACACCACCCGCAGGAGGAACATGAAGGGTCCGGTGCAATGTGGATCGGGTGGCAGACCAAGGCGGGAGCCTTGGCGGTCCGATCCCCGGACAAGAAAACTGGTTTTTGGGACATGGAACGTCACCTCGCTGGCAAGGAAGGAGCAGGAGCTTGTGGCAGAGGTTGAGCGGTACCGGCTAGATATAGTCGGCCTAAACTTGACACATAGCTTTGGCTCTGGAACCCAAGTTCTTGAGAGGGGTTGGACACTCTCCTTTGCTGGAGTTGCTCCGGGTGAGAGGCGGAGGGCTGGGGTTGGCTTTTTGTTAGCCCCAAGACTCTCTGCCTGTGTGTTGGGGTTTACCCCAGGGGACGAGAGGGTAGCTTCCCTGCGCCTTCAGGTCGGGAAACGGGTCCTGACTGTTGTTTGTGCTTATGGGCCAAATATCAGTTCAGAGTACCCACCCTTTTTGGAGTCCCTGGGACGAGTGCTAGATAGTACTCCCTCAGGGGACTCCATTGTCCTGCTGGGGACTTCAATGCTCACGTGGGCAATGCCAGCTTGACCTGGAGGGGTGTGATTGGGAGGAACGGCCCGCCTGATCTGAACTCGAGTGGTGTTTCATTATTGGACTTCTGTGCAAGCCGCAGTTTGGCCATAACGAACACCATGTTCGAACATAAGGATGCCCATCGGTACACTTGGTACCAGGGCAGCCTAGGTCGCAGGTCGATGATAGACTTTGTAGACCTATCATCTGACCTGCGGCCGTATGTTTTGGACACCCGAGTGAAGAAAGGAGCGGAGCTGTCAACTGATCACCACCTGGTGGTGAGTTGGATCTGATGGCAGGGGAAGATGCCGCGTAGACCTGGCAGACCCAAACGCATAGTGAGGGTCTGCTGGGAACACCTGGCAGAAGAACCTGTTAAGACAGTCTTCAACTCCCACCTCCGGCAGAGCTTTGACCGCGTCAAGAGAGCAGTGGGGGACATTGACTCCGAGTGGGCCTTGTTCCACTCTGCGATTAATGAGGCAGCTGTTGCTAGCTGTGGTCGCAAGGTGGCCGGTGCCAGTCGTGGTGGCAACCCCCGTACCGCTGGTGGACACCAGAGGTTCGGGGAGCCGTCAGGCTGAAGAAGGAGGCCTACAGGGCGTGGTTGGTCTGTGGGTCTCCGGAGGCAGCAGACAGGTACCGGATAGCCAAGCGGGGTGCAGCAGTGGCAGTTGCCGAGGCAAAATCTCGGGCATGGGAGGAGTTTGGTGAGGCCTTGGAGAAAGACTATCGATCAGCTCCAAAGAGGTTCTGGCAAACTGTCCGGTGCCTCAGGAGAGGAAGGCAGCAACTCGCTCACACTGTTTACAGTGGGGATGGGGAGCTCCTAACGTCAAATGAGGCTATAGTCGGACGGTGGAAGGAATAATTTGAGGAGCTCCTCAATCCCATCTATGCACATTCCGAGGAGGAACCAGAGCCGGGAGACCTGGGGATGGACTGTCCAATCTCGGGGGCGGAAGTTGCTGAGGTAGTCAAACAACTACACAGCGGCGGAGCCCCGGGGGCAGATGAGGTTCACCCTGGGTATCTCAAGGCTATGGATGTTTTAGGGCTGTCATGGTTGACACGTCTCTGCAACATTGCCTGGTCATCGGGGGCAGTTCCTGTGGAGTGGCAGACCGGGGTGGTGGTCCCCATCTTTAAGAAGGGTGACCTGAGGGTGTGTTCCAACTATAGGGGGGTCACACTCCTCAGCCTCCCTGGAAAGGTCTACTCCAAGGTACTGGAGAGGAGGGTCCGATCGATAGTTGAATCTCAGATTGAGGAGGAGCAATGTGATTTTCGTCCTGGCCGTGGAACTGTGGACCAGCTCTATACCCTTGCAAGGGTGGTGGGGTGGGGGGTGGGGGTGGGGTGGGGGGGATGGGAGTTTTCCCAACCAATCCACATGTGTTTTGTGGATTTGGAGAAGGCTTATGACCGTGTCCCCAGGGGCACCCTGTGGGGGACACTCCAGGAGTATGGGGTGGGTGGCTTTCTGTTAAGGGCCATTCAGTCCCTTTACCAGAGGAGCGTGAGTTTGGTCCGCATAGCCGGTAGTAAGTTGGACCTGTTCCTGGTGAGGGTTGGACTCCCCCAGGGCTGCCCTTTGTCACCAGTTCTGTTCATTACCTTTATGGACAGAATTTCTAGGTGCAGCCGTGGTGTGGAGTGTGTCGAGTTTGGTGGCAGGAGAATCTCGTCTCTGCTTTTTGCGGATGACGTGGTCCTCCTAGCTTCATCCAGCTCTGACCTTCAGCTCTTGCTGGGTAGGTTCACGGCCGAGTGTGAAGCGGCTGGGATGAGGATCAGCACCTCCAAATCTGAGACCATGATTCTCGACCAGAAAAGGGTTGCTTGCCATCTCCAGGACGGGGGAGAGGTCCTACCTCAAGTGGAGGAGTTTAAGTATCTCGGGGTCTTGTTCACGAGTGAGGGTAGGATGGATCGGGAGATCGACAGGCGGATTGGTTCGGCGTCTGCAGTGATGCGGACGCTGAGCTGATCTGTCGTGGTGAAGAGGGAGCTGAGCCAGAAAGCCAGGCTCTCGATTTACCGGTTGATCTACGTCCCAATCCTCACCTATGGTCATGAGCTTTGGGTAATGACCGAAAGAACGAGATCGCGGATACAAGCGGCCGAAATGAGTTTCCTCCGTAGGGTGGCCGGGCTCAGCCTTAGCGATAGGGTGAGGAGCTCGGACATTCGGGAGGGACTCGGAGTATAACCGCTGCTCCTCTGGATTGAAAGTAGCCAGTTGAGGTGGTTTGGGCATCTGGTCAGGATGCCTCCTGGACGCCTCCCTGGGGAGGTGTTTCGGGCATGTCCTGCCGGCAGGAGGCCCCCGGGTCGACCCAGGACACGTTGGAGAGGTTACATCTCCAATCTGGTCTGGGAACGCCTTGGGGTCCTGCCGGAGGAGCTGTTGGAGAAGGCTGGGGAGAGGACGGTCTGGAGCTCCCTAGTTGGGATGCTGCCCCCACGACCCGGACCCGGATAAGCGGAGGAAGACGACGACGACGACATTGAAAGGTATGAATTGATTTTGTAGTGTTACAGAGCCTCTTCATGATAAAGCAGAATTGTATCCTTTAACCCTCTGGAGGCAGGCGTTGCAGATTTGCAAAAGTTGAAACTTATCTACCTGGTTACTCCACAATGTGGAGTCCACATACGTATTTCATGAGCATTTTTTAACTCAGAAGTAACCCTGAAGGGCTTAGTTGTTCGTCCTTTTATCAAAATTTTTTTCGAGCCTGAGAGGGTTAAATATCAAAAGAATCTTGTTTATTTTTGGTTTATTTCACCTCCTCTGCAGACTGAAACAACCTCTAATCCTCCTCATGCTGTTCTCTCCTCACTCACCCAGTGGCATGCCAATGCCGTAGCCCTTGGTGTCCAGCAGCCCTCCGATCTGAGTCAGGTTGCAGTTCCTCTGGTGGTAATACTCATTCATGGTGCTCTCTAACAGGTAGGCGTAGTTCGAGTTGAGGACACGAGCAATCCCCTCCTCTGTGCTCTTCACAAACACACTGGGCTCTTTTGAGTGCATGAAGTTCCACATCCGCTGGTAGGTCTGGTACCGAGAGTTCTGCACAGCAGTGAGATAGGATCAAGAGAAGCAAAAGTCTTTATTTACATATAAATATTGCTCCCTTTTACTGATTAGAAGATAAGTTTTTATTTGTTTACCGTTTTCCTTTCTGTGACTGATGGATTTGATTCAAACTGATTTACCTGAATGCATCTTCTTTATCGCAGTTTTCTTTTACAAACCTTTTTTCCATTTGAGCAGCTACAGATTTCAGAGCAGAAACTTCAAATCATATCACCTCCTGTCTTACATTTCCTCTTAACCAGTCTCCTCTGCTCTATTCAAGGTCCAGCGGATGTTAAAGCATCAAAGAGTACAGGTCTTTTATCTGTTCTCCGATCCCATCCTTCAATGTCCCTCTCTCCTCTAACACTCGGATTTTCCTCATCTTTATCTGTTCCTCTCTGAGGTCAAATACCTAGAATATAAACGAGGCTGGAGTGCTTATTGTCTGGTTGTGTGAGCAGCAGGTGGTAAACACATAAAACATGATGAGGATGACATTACTGGTGACTGATCACATGATCTGAGCTGAAATTGGCTCACATGAGAGAAGTGAGGTGTGTTTGCTCTCACCATGAAGAAAGTCATGGTGGACCCTCCGTGCATGGTGCCGTACTCTATCGCCGTCTGATCTGCCAGGTCGTCCACCGACTCTATGGGAACCTCCATCCTCTGAACTGTCAGAAAGGCAGCCAGGTTGGCCGTGTATGAAGAGATGATGATTAACGTAAAGGCCCACCTGTGTGTGATGACAGCATAAAGGAAATGGCAGTTACTCTGAACACAAACCTTTGGTGTGCTGTATGAAGGATGATTGTGTTAACAAGAGGATTCCAACTATCACACACCTGAGAGGAGACATGGCAGGAGTTTGACTGATGACATGGTGAACGGATGAATGAAAGGGTTAAAATGAGGAAGGTGACAAACTTGAGTTAAGGTAATGTTTTATCTGGAAAGCAGACAGACAGACAGATGATATCTCAAGGATGTGCATACACAAAATACCATCATCACGGTTTGAAAATTGGAAAATAATTTCTGAAGGGATGTAACTTACAAGTTACCATTTAATGCTTCTGAAAGCCAAAATTCTGTGATCTCAAGCTTTCTCATCCATCATAAAGAACATAAAGTGCCTTTAGTCAGCTGTGTCAGGATGTTTCGACTGAAGCAAACAGGAAACTGTTCTGGATCAGCTCCTCTTCAACCTTCAACACTTGGAAGGTTGAAGAGATGTTGATAAATTACAGTAGCCTGTTTGGGACATTTGGGCCTGATCCATGTGAGATTTATGTAGTTTGTGGGGCTCAGACATGTTGAGATCAGATCATGTTTGAAAAGCAGAACAGTAAAAACCAGAGATGAAACGTGTTTATAATGAAGCAAAATAAAGACAGAACGGAGCTGAATGTGAGAACAGTCATGCTGACAACTGGTCCCAGTACTGACCACACTCCACTGACACAGCGTGTAGACAGAGCTCTGGGAGCGATGGTGGATCCCTGCTGCATGAATCCTCCAACTGGGAACCAGAAACTGTTGCCAAGTGAGTACTGGTTGATCAGCAGGTTGCAGCGTCCCTTTAGACAAGGATGGGGGTTGTACCACTCGTAAGGTGTCAGTCTGGGTAGGAGGAGACAGCAGAGGTTATATAAACAGAGAGAGTCAGGAGGAATGAAGCAACATGAGTGAAAACCCAAGAGATGGAGAGAGAGGAATGAATGAATAACAAAAAGAGAAACAACTACAACAATGAAGTCAGCACAAAGTCACCTTGGCTCTCCAGAGAGACAAATAAACCTCGTTTTCACTCTGAATTTAATTGCGGAGGCATCAGCAGTGTGTTTGTGTTTTCTGTTGCTTCTACTGGAAACATAGTAACATTATGTGAAAAATCATTTATGTGCAGGACTGAGACATTCATCAATCTGCTAGTTTTAATAAACAACAAGAGCTTCTGATCTGAAATGAATCAGAAATGTACAAAACTATCAAGATGAAGTTCAGAATCAGTTCCATCCCTGACCAGCAGGTGGCAGTGTAGTTCTGGCCGCTGACTAGAGAAAATCTTCCAGCATGATGGGGCGATCAACCACAGAAACTTGAGAGAGAGAGAGAGAGAGAGAGAGAGAGAGAGAGAGAGAGAGAGAGAGAGAGAGAGAGAGAGAGAGAGAGAGAGAGAGAGACAGAGAGAGAGAGGAGAGAGAGAGAGAGAGAGAGAGAGAGAGAGAGAGAGAGACAGAGAGAGAGAGACAGAGAGAGACCAGACACCTGCTTCCTGCTCGGTGTATCCCCCTGCAACTCTTTTTGTGTGTCTAATCTCTGAACACAACCTTTTGTTCATCTTTTGAACGTTTTTCTTTCTCATCTGAGGTGATTGAGCTTTTTACCTCGCCACTAGAAAGAGGATGCAGCTGACAGCCAAGTAGGCCAGGAGCATGAAGAGCCAGACGCCAGGGGAGAAGGGATCCAGGAAGGAGAAGTGTCCTGGCCGACGTCCCTGGAAAACACACACACACACACACACACACACACACACACACACACACACACACACACACACACACACACACACACACACACACACACACACACACACACACACACACACACACACACACAAACACACAGAATCATTTGTTTTCATGATCACACTGTCGGCTGACGTGGGGTTTAGTTTAAGGAGGGTCAAGAGGTTAAATAGTCTCTAGTAAAAAGTGACGATGAGCTAATGAACTCATGAGAATGGTTTGAAACGTCTCCTCCATCCAGTCAGAGATGAGTTCAGTCATTAGAAAAAGTTTCTGATTTGACTTTTGATCCTTTTGCTCCACTTTAGTTTGTTTTAACATTAAACATGGTGACTGTTTAGCTTGGATGAAGATAAAGAATGTGACTGTGATGGTAAATAAAAGGATTTTAATGAGATAATAACAGAGTTTTATCTGCATGTGACCATTTAGATAAAAGTCTTCCATGATCAGAGCAGCAGCTCTACTACAGATAACAGGATTTATTTATCACATTCTGATACTGCAATGATAACAAACATAAACAATTTTCTGTTAATTATACTTTTGTACATTTGCTTTTGTATTAAACCTGCATCATAAAGGTTCAGGTTCAACAGTAAAACAAAACCTTGAGGTCAGAATCAAGAACAGAAGACAACAGGCAGTTTGTGCTCCTCCCTGGAGGCTGAACACAGTAGTGAGAGAAGGTTAGATCATCAGCTAAACCATTAAGCAAACATTAAACATGAAGTCTTTTCTATGACCTCTACTTGACCTCCAGCATGACTGGAGGTGCACAGCGGTCTGACTCAGAGACAGAGAGGAAGGAGATTAATCGTTTGAGTGGTGGAGAAGCAGCTATGGGATGTTATTTATCAGCTTGTAATGGTTACAGGAGATCATTTCAATTCAATTCAATTCAATTCAAAAATACTTTATTAATCCCAGAGGGAAATTAGAGTTTCAGTACACACAATTCTGAGATCGACATACATACATAGACACATGACAAGAATTGGTGACTGTGGTCATTCCCAACCCGAGTCGCGCTGCCGTAATAGATCAAGAGGGTTTATATGAGGATAGAGTCAGGGGGAGGGAAAAAAAAGGCACTTCACAGTTACCCTCAACAGAGAGGGTAGCTTTGCTCTACAAAAACACATCAGACAGATATGCACACAGACTTCAGATGATACACAACACAAGTGTCCAATAGGTGGGGAGGTAGGGTTTGGACTCTCCTCACTTCAGAGCGTGCAGCCGCATGGAGCAGCGCTCATCACCTCCGTTTGGAGAGGGGAGGGAGATAATGGGTTAGAGGGCACATTGACTCCTAGATACGGTTCCACGGCCTTCACCGGTCACAGTCCCGCCCAGGCTGGGATAGGGAGAAAGAGTTTCCATAGCGACGACAGCATTCCACATTTCATCTGAGGGGAGTTTACACTTCAGCCTCACAGGCTCCAAGGGCACCAGATTCAGATAATAATTGTTTTGGGGACAGACAGAGATAATTTCCTCTCTGCCTTAGAGTTCTGTTGGTCTTCAACCCATCTAGATCCAATAATGGTGGAATTAATCTACCCCAATCTGTGCTGATCTATCGACTCGCTCCTTGATGGAATCCACCTTCTGTGCCAAAGCCTGAATCTCAGCCAAAGTTCCAATCTTACGACTCATCTCGACAATTATATGAGTTTGTGTGTTCACAGCATGATGCATTCTATCCCTGAGATCCGGGATTGAGCCAATATTCCTCGAAAGCTCGTTAATGTTCCGGTATGCCAGGTAACCGCTCAGGCCAAACAGCAGGAATCCTGACACCAAAACAACGAATATCCAAACATCTTCAGAATCCTCTACAGACAGTTGACAGAGGCAGATCAAGTTCCACTGTTTCCAGGATTCCATGATATACCCAGCTGGCTCTGTCCCAGAGGGGCACCCGGGAGCCCCTTCTCCCGTCCTCATCGTTGAAAAGATTTTGTCAATCGCGTTGAGAGACCAACTGACCAGATCCATTTTCAATCATTTCCAGTTTCCAGAAAAAAAGCAGAAAGCACCGTGCACACAAAGACAGGACAAAGAGCCTTGGGATGAGGAGGGAGGGAGAGGAGGAAAAAAAAAGTTTCTGTACTTTCCAAGAGCCGGAAGAAGAAGCTGATAAAATAAGGTTGTTAACATCAGACCAATGAGAATATGAAGGGTCAGTTCTAAGGTTTCATCAGCAGCTTTTATCCTCTGAATGAAACCAATTACTGATGAACGAGCATCAGGGTGAGTGTGTGTTTATTTATGTGACTTTCTGCTCATTTTGTTTTTCTTTCAGCTTATGAGCTGTTGATAAGAAAACGTCAGCTGTTTGCACACAGATGCACATCCACCATCTGTCCACTAATCTGAGACAGAGGTGTTGACTGGAGAGTGGAGGTGATCGAACAACCAACAGACGACACAAACGTACAACACGTCCAGTAGAAATGGCTCGTCTTCCATTTCTGTAGGTAAAAAGAGCAAACTCAAGTCACTTTAATGGAGATCTACTCAGTTATGAGTTCCTGTGAGACCTCACAGAGCAGAACACTGCAGAGACTAAAGAGATGGAGTTCTGAGCATCGTCAAATTAAATCTGAGGTAAACGGTCTTGTTGGGAGTTTATTGTGATACAGACATCCTGAGTTAGACTTGTGCAGAGAGGAAAACTCATTAATGTGTCAAATCACTTTCATTCTAGCCTGACTGAGCGCCAAACAGGAGATACATCTTTCTGAACCTGGACCAGTAGAGAAATGAAACACATGATGGCCTTCTTAGAGGCAGTGTGTCACTGGAAAGAGAGGAAACTGCCAAGTTGTCTTCAGCTGGAGAAACAGCAGGATGAGCTGACAGGAGACGTCCTGTTTGTTGGTCCATGCTGAAGATGCATTTTGTGAATGACTGGCCACATGTGGCCACTTCTTAAGTTTCCACTGAGGAACCATTGTAAAGATAAAACAGAGTGAGGGGATGCGGGAGTCCCATGCTGACAGATGGCAGAGAAGTGAAGGTATAGGATGGAGACTGAGAGAGAGAGAGAGATAGAGAGAGAGAGAGAGAGAGAGAGAGAGAGAGAGAGAGAGAGAGAGAGAGAGAGAGAGAGAGAGAGAGAGGTAAATACACTGCCCAGCTAGAAAAGAAAAAGGTCACAGATGCTAATATTTTGTTGGACTGCCTTTAGCTTTGATTACACACACATTCGCTGTGGCCTTGTTTCGATAAGCTTCTGTAATGTCACAAGATTTATTTCCATCCAGTGTTACATTAATTTGACACCAAGATCTTGCATTGATGATGTCAGAGTGTGACCACTGCTCAAAGCCTTCTCCTGCACACTCCCAAAGATTCTCAATGGGGTTGAGGTCTGGACTCTGTGGTGGCCAACCCATGTGTGGTAAAGTCATACCAATCTACAAAAATAATGATAAACACATGTTTACCAACTATAGACCGATCTCATTGTTGCCTCCGTTTTCAAAAATCTTGGAAAAACTCTTTAATACACAACTAGAAAATGTAATTGATAAACATCACATAGTTAATGATGGACAATATGGCTTCAGAAATAAAAGAACAACTTCTATGGCTATAATAGATGCCGTGGAAGAAATCACCAGTGCACTTGACAACAACAAATATGCAACTGGAATTTTTATTGACTTCAAAAAAGCTTTTGATACAATAAATCACTCAATTCTGCTTGACAAATTGGAAAAATATGGAATTAGAGGAGTGGCATTGAACTGGGTAAGAAGTTATTTAAGTGGAAGGGTACAGTATATTAATAATGGACAGAAAAAGTAAAAAAAAAAACCTTGACATTGTTTGTGGTGTACCCCAGGGATCAGTACTGGGACCTAGTTTGTTCAATTTGTACATTGATGATATTTTTGAAACATCTACATTACTAAAATGTATTTTATTTGCAGATGATGCAAATATATTTTATAGCAGTGACAATTATCCAAATCTTATTAAAAAATAAATGAAGAATTAACTGTTGTTAAAAGATGGATGGACAGCAATAAGTTGCCATTGAATTTAAACAAGACTAAAGCAATAAAATTTGGTAATCAAGAAACAAAGTTTGAGTTGCCAATAAATATAGATGGTTTTCAAATTGAAATGGTACAAGAAAGCATATTTTTGGGAATCACAATAGACAGTGAACTGTCATGGAAACCTCACATCAGACACACAAAACAAAAAAACTCTAAAAGTCTATCGATAATAAATAAAGCCAAGTCATTTCTTGATTGCAACACACTTCGTGTATTGTATTGCTCCTTAGTTCTCCCTTATTTTACTTATGGCGCTGAGTTATGGGGGAATAACTATCAATGCTCCTTACAGCCTTTTTATATATTGCAAAAAAAGAGCGGTCCGTATCATAAATAAGGTTGGATTCTTAGAACACACAAATCAACTATTTTTACAATCAAAATTATTACAACTACAGGATTTAATTAAAAATCAAACAGTTCAAATTCTTTTCAAAGCATTTAATAAACTTCTACCAAATAATTTACAAAAGCTATTTATAATTAAAGAGCTGTCACATAGCCTAAGGAGAGATAAAATATTTAAATTACCACTGGTGCAAACAACACGCAAAAGCTTTTGTGTGTCTGTGTGGGATAAAAATATGGAATAATTTAAAGGCTGATCACAAACAATGACAAAATATTCCGATTTTTAAAGTGCACTACAGAAGAACAGATTGGTTAAAATACATTACAAATGAGAATGGACAATGATGTGCGTAAAGGTGTATGGGAATATATAATTAATGATATTGATAAGAATTGTTAAATTGTCTAGACTACCATTATTATTATTGTTATTATTTTCTTTGGACAAAATGTTGTAGGGGTGGGCTTGAAGAAGCTTGGCTTCCGCCCACTCCCTTTCGAACATGCCTACAACGATGTCAACTCGATTTACTATTGAT